CCAGTTTGGAGAGATCCTTCTGGAGCTCTTCACAATCCCTTCTGGTCTTCACCACCCAGAAAAGTTTTGTGTCGTCTGCAAACTTCGCCACCTCACTGCTTATCCCTGTCTCCAGGTGATTTATGAACAGATTGAAAAGCACCGGTCCCAGGACAGATCCCTTGAGGCACACTGCTTTTCATCTCTCTCTATTGTGAAAATTGCCCATTGACACCTATTTTCTGGTTCTCTATTTCCTGGTTCTCAACCAATTCTCAGTCCATAAGAGGTCCTGCCCTTTTATCCCTTTTCTCAGCAGCCTTTGGTGAAGGACCGCGTCAAACGCCTTCTGAAAATCCAGATAGACAATATCCACTGGTGTGCCCACATCCACATGCCTGTGGACCTTTTCAAAGAATTCTAAAAGGTTTGTGAGGCAAGATTACCCTTACAGAAGTCATGCTGATTTTCTCTCAGCAAGACTTGTTTGTCTTCTGTAGGTGTACAGCTCGTCTGTAGATGGCTTCTGAGAACGCACCAGAACTTGCATCATGGAGGGAGATTCTGCCATGCTGTGAAATGTAGTGTCTGTAGATCTGGGTGGAAGATCCTGCCATGATTCTGCATCAACAGATGAGGAAGGAGGAGGAAGTCGCTCACTAGGGACCTCAGGGTGGTAAACCATGGGCCACTACGTGGCTATCAAGATCGCATCTAGCTTGTCTTGACACAGAGTAACTCTGATCCTCTGTAGGAGCAGCACTGGTAGAAAGAAGTATAGCATGCTGGCAGACCAGGTAGTCATGTAGGCATCCTCCAGTGATCCGATGCTGATACCCGCTCTGGATATTTGATGCATTTTGCATTGTTGACAGTGGCAAAGACATCCACTGCTGGGGTGCCCCAGTGGTGGTGAAGGTGAAGAAAGAATGAGTTCTCTAAGGACCACTCATGGTTCTGAACTCAGAGTCTGCATAATGTGTCAGCTAGAGCATTGTCCTCTGTGGCAATATGGACTGCCATCAGGAATATGTGGCAATATGGACTGCCATCAGGAATATGTGGTAATATGGACTGCCATCAGGCATTTGTAACACCACTCTCAAAACTGGACAGCAAGATAAAAGAGGGCTAAAGAGTGAGTGCCTCCTTGCTTGTTGATATACAGTGGTCCCTTGACTTTCGAACTTAATCCGTCGAGGATGATGTTCGTAAGTCAAAACGTTCGTAGGTCAAATCAGCATTTCCCATAGGAATGCACTGAAACCCGATTAATCCATTCTGGCTGTTTTTTGTTCTTATGTCAAGGTATGGTTTGTAAGTCAAAGCATTAGTTCCCATAGGAACTAATACAAAACCGGTTAATCTGTCCTCTACCACTAGGGGGAGAATTTTTCTTCTTTTAACCTAAGATGAACTTAGGTTAAAAAAAGGGCAGGAAAGGCAGGAGGGGGGGGAACGAACATCTTTTAAACAGAACACCTTTTAAACACCAAACCAAGCACCTTTTAAACCAATTTTTACATTTTAAAGTTACAGTACCAGGTAGTAACAGGGAGTCCAAAGTCCATTTCCCGCTTGGGAGGGGGAGTTTGGAGGCTAAAACACATTTTAAACCCACACGTGCTTAACCCACACATTTTACAACACATTTTAAACCAAGCAACCAAAAGACTAAAATGCATTTTAGAGCCCAACAACCAGACAGACCTTTGCAAACAGTTTTCTGATTTTACAACCAAGAGCCAGCACAGAAACATAACCACCCACCTAGCCCCACCCCAAGCTGCAAAACCACTGTACAGTAAATATAGTGTACTCACCCAGAACAGGCAATCTCTCTGTTTTAAAAAAGTAAAAAATCCAAAAGTCAAAAAAGAAAAAAAAAAGTCCATAAGGGGGTTGGCAAGAGCCGGGTAAAATAAAAAAACAAAGACTTGCAGGCTTCCTCCTCCATCTCTATCCCCAACTCGAGGAAGAAGACTGGGTGGGGGATTTGTCTTTTTTTCCCTCCCGATTTCTTCCCCCTCTGTCCCAAGGAGCCCGGAGGGAAGGGAAGTGCCTTGGCTCACGCAGCCGATCTTCCGCCTAGGTGGAAATCACACGGATGTGTGTCTTCGCCATGAGCCAAAACTTCAAGTATCAGTGCTTTCTTTTGTCTTGGGGGGGCTCTGTCAGCCCTCCGCCCCCTCCAAGTGTCAACTTGTTCCTCTTGGCGCTCCCTTTGAGAAGCGTGGCTTTCCTGAAGCGGAAACCCGACAACAACGCTCCCCCCTGCCCGGCAGAATCCCTTCCCTGCTTCCAAGCTACTGTTTTTCGAAAGCTTCTCGGTCGCTGAAGAAGAGCGAGGAGCGCAGGGATCGGCTTCCCTTCCTCTTTCGTCCAAAGCTTTAACAGACACTCCAGGGGTCTTCCTTGCCTTCCTTGGGCTGGTTGGACAAGCCACGTTTCACATACGAAAAGCAAAAATGACACTTTTTCCGCCCCCCGCCCCCAAGGTGGAAGTTGGCAGGTAGATAAAGAACATTAAAGGAAGGGAGAGACGAGGAAGGCTGCTTGTTTTCAAAGGAGAGTTTAGAATTACCAGAGAGGGCTGCCAGGATCCTGCCACAACAGGGCAGATTTGTGGGTGCAGACTACAACTTCCAGAATTCTTGGGGGATTCTGGGAGCTGTAGTTGAATAACTGCAGCTCTGTACCTGTGGGGCTAGGGGCTTGTTTCTCTGACAGATCTTTCTGTCT